CAAGAAGCCATAGGAAACCTTAAACCCCATTTCTGGTGTAAATTCAATCTTAAATATTTAAAACGTACCTTTCAAACAATTTAAGAGTTCTGGGAGGAAAGCAAAAAATTTTAATTTACACTTGTTTGGTACTTTATTTAAGTTTTATTTTAAAAAATATCAAGTACCAATTAGTTGCATGTCATATTGCGCATCTAAAAGCAATTTATGTATTTTATTTTGTTTTAATTGCAAGAAATATATTTTCTATTAGGTCATTGCCAAACACATCAGCAAATAACTTTTTTTAAAACCTTGATAGAACATAACATATTTATTAGTGTCTTATTTTGTGAACACTTTTTAGTGTTTATAATATTATGTATTAAATATTACCCTTGCGTTTCATCATTAGTATACAGTAATATTGGCTTTGATATTACATTGCTTAATCAAGCATGTGTGTAAAATCGTTGCTTTTGAATGTTCTGTGTAAAAATTTGCTCTTTAAAAATATGTTTTAGTATTTTTTTGTTTTTTAATTTATTTTTACTGAATTACAATTCCTGATTGAGTCGTAACAAGACACTTCATGCAAAACAGCCATCATGACAAAGTGAAAAAAAAAGCTAATAAAAAGAAACGTTTTGAATATTTGTAATTTTACCAATAAAATGTAATACTTTACACAATAAAATAGTGCAAACCAGCCATGTTTTTTTTTTAAAACCTTTATTCAACATTTTAAAACTAACAAAGTTGTATTAAATTTTTCAAACCCTTTAAACAAGCACTCCAAAAATAACTTTATTCAACATGAATGTAAATAGCAACATAAATTTTAATGATATAATACATTAACATACTAAAAGAAAGCCAGTCTCTCATAAAATTAAAAGCTTTGAAGATTCAAGTGCATTGGTATAAAAATATCTTCTATTAAAAATAACATCAATAGGTATTAGTGTCAACAAAATTATAACAGGCAATTTAAGTCCAAGTTATATTCTTTTCCATTTAAGAACTCTCTAACAGAACTTAAAAACACATCACTTCAACTACATTCCTGAAACTTCATTTTTTTAAATTGACAAAACATTGTTCATTGTAGAAAAATGATTTTCACAATTTTAACTTTATTACTGTTTTGGAATTTGTTTTTTAACAAGTTTTCTTTAAATGTCGCATGGAATTCTATTTGGTTCAGCAAAAGAATTATATTGTATAATTGGTTTGTATTTCTTTAATTTTGCACTTTTTCAGAAGTTAAAGTTTTTTGTTTTATTTTTATCCGAAATGTTGATTCTGAACATTATGAGTTGCTGCTATTAGCTCCACAATGTCCATTTCATTCCCATAAGTAATGGACTGTTGGTGCTGATGAGAAGCATGTATCCCTGATACTTGACCAACATACTGTGTAGAGTGATGAACATTGACAACTGAGGCTGTGGGCTGATGACTACTTGGGTGTTCATACACCTGAGGACAATGCATACCTACACTTCCAACAGGCTGGGTCATGCTAACTAAGGCACCCATGGACTGAGACCCATGAGGTTCTTCATTGACAGGGGCAGCGGGTATAACAGACACAGTAGTTCCTGTGCTGTTTACCCGAACCTTAGCCGCATATTCACCAAGCCTTCGTCGCCTTTTATTTATAGCTCGCTTCTGCCTATAAACTTGATATTTTTCAGGGTCCTGTTTCAATTTTTTTCTATATTCCTTCATGCGTTCAGCATCTGTTGGACGAGATTCACCTGGGCTATACCTCTTTCTGGTTGGAACAAAAATTTCTTCCGCACCAGTCAAAATTCTTAATAATTTTACCTCTAGTTCTTTCATTTTTTCTTCATTAACTTTTTGTTTTTCTAAAATCTGCTCTCTCTCAAGCTGCTTGGCATACTCTTCTTCTGTCAATTCTGGCTTTACATCACTCTGTTTAGTTTCTGGGAGAAAATCATCCACTTTTAAAGGTAATATGGCCAGTTCTGCACTGTGCGATCCTGCTTCTGACCCAATAGTGCTTGTAACAACAACTCGATAGCCAGCCTCACCAATTTCAGCCAGCATTTTTCCAACAATTTGCTTCATTTTTTTCTTTAAACATATACGTCTAGTATATTCAACTTTAATCTGATCCTTTGATTTATCCTGGCAGCTCTGCTGCACAAGTGTTGCCTTTCTGGATTTTCCAGTAAGAGCTTCTGCAACATCATCAATGTTTTCAAGAGACAACTGCTGCGTGTTATGAGACACCACAGAGACAGATGACTTATGAAGAATACATTTCTTTCCACCATTCTTCGACACCACTGTGATGCCTGGATCACTAACTTGGTTTCTTTTAAGCATTTCTGCCATTTCTAGCAGCTTTTGGTGTCTTTCCTGAGTTTTAAGCCTCAGAGCTTTTCTGTGCTCTTTTAACATAGCTTCTTTGTTAGGTCCCTCTGGCATTGTTTTCCAGCTGATCCTTTTCCTTCGAATATTAGTATCCTGGGCCAGTATAAGCAGTTGTTCATTAGAAAGGCCAGATTCAGAAAGAAGAGTCTTGAGTCGTTGTTTCTTTTGTTTGCTCTTTTTCATTTTTAACACCTCTTTGATTTTCTTAAGCTTATCTTTATCAACACTGTCCAGAAACTTTTTCTTTGCCATTCGTATGTCCTCTTCAGAAGGTCCAAGCATATATCTGGGTGGACACATTACCAATTCATCCTGAACAATAGGCAGATCACACAGAGCTGCTAACTTGGCAATTAAATGTTTCAGGTCAATTAAGGTATTAGGGTGTAAGCAATCAGACTGAAGATTTGGTACAGACCCATCAACTTCTAAAGGGCCTTCACTTTTAGCAACTGATTTATTACTAGTTGAATGAATCTGCATTCCGAATGTTGTCTCTTTCTCTGAAACATTCTCATTGCTGGCTCCTTCACAAGGGGTACCTGCAGATAGAACTCTACTTAATTCATATTATAACACAAATTGGAGCTCTCATTTTTATTTAAATAATCTAACCCAGCGCTGTCCAACATTTTTGACAATATGGGACATCCGTTTGTTGTGAAGCAGATGGCCTCACCAGAAAAACTCAAAAGCAGCGACGAAATTAATTTGAAATGTATAAAGTTTATTAAATTTAAATGCTAATAGAAATGGCATTTATTTGTGCATTCTAACGGAATAAGTGTTTCAAGAATAATTTGAAAATAAACGTTAAAGCTTGTAAAAGTGAGTTACTTGGCTTTATATTATGCTCGCAATTTTTTAATAATTTGTAATTGCAATTTAATAACTGCATCCCTCATTAAATCAATCAAAAGAGTTCTGGTGCTGCCACGCATGGTTAAACATTTTTTAATGATTAAATTTAAATGTGCCGGAATTCATTTGAAGAAATCCATGACATTCATCATTCAGTACTCATTTAACAGCAAAGTTTTTTGCACGTTACAAAGCAGCAGATCATGTGCAGGTACCATTATTTTAGTCACGCTTCACATCATATGCTCCAAAATAAATTATTTTTGTAGCTTCAATATAAATATAAAACTCTTCCATTTTTTTCTTTTAATTTTTTTTTTTTTTAAACATTTTATGATTTGTAAGGCCATATAAAACCACCTTGCAAGGTATGTTGCATGCAACCTGGATGTTGGACAGTGCTGATCACATTTAAATGAATATTTTTGGTTTCACTTAGATTTATCAAACGATAACTTAACTTGTAATCACTAAATATCAATATTAAATAAGTTCTTTCAAACCTTATTTATGAACAATTTAAACTTTTATAAAAAGTAAAATTACATTTTTAAATAATAATATGTGTACAAATAGATCTCATATGAAGAAATATTTTTTTAAATATTTAAGTATTCCAAAAGCTCAGAATAAAAAATTATTTCTGGAAAAAAAAATAAAAAAAAAAAAACATAATTAACAATTATCTTTTAAAAAATTCATCTCATAGCACATTTTTTATGTTTAAGAAACATCAAGAAGAAATTTTATTTAAAAAATATGCAATGAGCTTCAATTTTAAAATTCTTAAAACGGCGATCAATTTATCAAATATTCAGAAAAAAGCTTCCAATGTACTTAAGTTTTTAATTTAGACTAACTACTGTCTTCATTGATTTATTTTGTATGATGGAAAATTTGTTTTGATTCATTAAGAATCAAAATATATTTAATTACACCCTTCAAACTGCTACAGAAAAAAAGTTCTGAATTAAACAGAACTGGCTTGAAATTTTTTTTAAAAGCCTGACTCAGTTTATGAATCAATTTATAGGCATGTCTTTTTGTGCAGTGAGCATTTTAAAGATGTACATTTTAATTATGGTATGTAGGTATTTGTAATGAATTTCAATGCACATAGAAAAGCTATAGATCTATTTCTTACATTTAATTTTATTTGTTATTAGATATTTTTAAAATTTAGATTCAGTTTATAAAATCAACGCAAAATCAATCAAAAATTTTCTTCAGAAAACAAAAAAACAAATAAATTAAAACTCAAAAATGAAAAAAAAAATATTTTTGATAGTACTCTGAGTGATAAAATTTGACGACAAAGAAACTTGTTTTTTTGTCAGGATTCCAGAGTTATTGCGATGAGAACATTCTTTCGCAGGATCATTAGGAGGAAGATGCTCAGTTTGTTCCAAAGACAAGTAAGCTTTGTTACACTCTTCCCTTTCACCTGCAGATACAACTTCTTATCATCTACTTTTTTCATTAAAGTTAGATTAAACTTAAACGGTAAATAGCAATCCTACTACAAATTGTCTTTGTATTATGATGTAAAAAGTGTCCAGGTGTTTAGAATTAGAAGAAGTCAGTTAAAGTAGACATGTGAAACTATCTGCCTGTTTCAATTTTTGTAATTTATTTCTAAATAAAAAATTAACATTTTCTCTGCATGTTCCAGCAATAGTCCTAATTCACATTGAAATAACTAAAAACACATGTTTAAAAAAAACAAAACACCCTTATAATCATCCGATACATCCTCAATAATTATACATTAAATCTAGGATCTCTTGCTGTACAGATTGCCCAGTCCTTGCACTAGATGACTCCCGTCTTGTGGCTGCTTCACCATGAGTGGTGGCACATTCAGGAATGACATAATGAGCATTTTCCAAACTTTCTCCAATTAACAGTTCCTGCTTCCCCTCCACAAAATCATCTGTTTTCCTTCTGCCCCGCAGTCTTTTAGACTTGCTGTTATTTGGTCCCTGTACCTTTATTTCTTTGACTTCTTTCATAGCTTTCATTATTCTCTGACTAAATCTGTATTGTCTAAGTCTATCTGCTGCTTTGGCTCTAAGCTCTTGAAACTTTTCTGGATTGTTTTTTCGTAAATTATCTTGGTACTTTTTGGCTCGTTCATTGTTATATTTTTTAAATCCCTCTGGGTCTATAAGTTTTTTTTTGCGCCTCCATTCTCTGCTTCTGCCCAAGCGATACCATTCCTCTTTGGCCACAGGATCCATGTGCCGAAGACTTTTTGCAGGAGGTAAAAGGGAATTTAATACATCCGTTGGAATTAACCTTATGTCATCATTGCTTTTGTCTTTTAACGCATCAGGGAGCTTACCCACTTTTCGCATATAAAGAATTCTGTTCATTAAACTTTTTTTCTCAATGATTTTCGGATCTTGATTAGCCTCACTGATCCGTCTACGTTCCCTGGCTTGTTCTTCCTTTGATAAGTGCTTATATCTTTCATAACGATCTGGATCTTCTTTTCTCAAGCGAACAAGGTAACTACCACGGTGGCGCCTTGGCATAGTTTGCTGGCAAAAAACTTCATATGAAGGCTGTTCAGAATGAGAAAAATCTGAAGTCTCTTCTTTTGCCATAGCTACAGTTATCTTATTACTAGGTGTATCGTGATCAACAATAGTAGTGATGTTACTACTGGATGGATCAGTCAAGGTAATTACTTTAGATGTAGGGAGTGAAAACTGATTGTGAGTAGCCTCTTGATAAAACTTTCTTACATAAGGAATATGACTGAATGCATCTTGTTTACACATTTGTTCAGATACATTAACACCAGCCTGCTCAGAATTTTGAAATGGTTTCATAGAATCTGACAGCACAACAATGTTGTCGACAATGTCTGTTTCAGTTTGATATGAGTCATTGGTGTCCAGCAAGTTATCAGCACCTGCTGCAATCACTGGTAAAATTTGTGCTGGATGTGCAACACGTTTGTGACTAGAATTTATAAAGGGGAATGATTTGTTAACAATGACAGCTTGTGTTAAAGCAGAATGTAACTCTGGCAACTGTTCCATTCTTGGTGATCTTGGTGACAATGGTAATGCAGGTTCATGAGCTGTTGGTAAAATAATGCTGGTCACATTTTTTGTGGGTAGTTTCAAATTTAAATTTGAAGATTCACTAAATGTGGGAAATGCAGACTGAACTGCAAATTTTGCAGGTTTGATTGTAATAGCCACCCCATATTTTTGAGCCAGGTCAGAAAATACTCTCATCATTTCCTGTTTATCGCACAGTTTATTTTTCACTTTGTAAAAATTGTTGTATCTTTCTAAATACTCTCTGCAAGAGAAAGCAGCACTAGTTTTTTTCACAAGCATTGTTGTCTTTTCCTGATAGCCACTGAACCCAAAGGATGAGAGCTCTGTATCCTTCGGAGCAGAGTTACCTGCGAGATACAATGAGGATTTTACATATCCTTGTATTGATTCTCTTTTACTTCACTACTGATATTGTAATAGCAGCTTTTAACATTCAAGTCATACTGACACAGGTCAAAATCATTATTATATCAAGAATGTGGTGAAAGCTTTAATGTTTGGTGTAAAAAAAAAATAGAACACTTAAATTTAACTAAAAAAATACCAGTACATTAAAAGATGATTCTGAATACAACATGAAAACTCTCCATTCTCTGTTGCAAAGTTTGAATTTCTAAATCAAGAAATGGTTCAGCACCTGTTGAACATCTTCTTTCTAATACACAAGTTTAAATTACTTAAAATTCCACTCTAATCATAATAACCAGACACACACTAAATGTAACAAGAGATTTTTTGGAAGAGTTGTTGGAATGTACCTGAATTTATATTACTATGTGCTATGAATAACTTGGAATAGGTAATACAATTGCAAAGAGTTTTTCAAAAAAGGTTAACCACCTTTATAATTATACACTATACAAAGGTATCCCTAAAGATATATACAAGTATCATGTAATGTATGAATAATCTCAAAATACTTGGTTTTCAATTTTAAAAATTTTTAAATGTGTGTGGAAATTAATGCTGCTACTCAATAAAACATTGAGTAGAGGTTACAGTTTTTGTAACAAAGAATGTTGTTCATGTAGTGTACAATTAGCTAGGCAAATTAGAATGAATTGAAGATTTTTTAGTGCAGACTAGTAGCTTTTGTTATTAGATCACAAAATCGGGTCAAACAAATTGGTACTTCAGGAAATGAGTGAAACAAAGTAAGGTTAAACCTGAAAAAAGGAATGCAACAAATTAACGAAGGTTTCGGCAGGAAGCCTTCGTCAGCGAACAAACAACAGAAAAAAACAGAATAAAATTTAATATATATATATATATATATATATAAAAATATAGCACTTAGCTGAGAAGTAGTATCTGAAAGGGCAGCAAAAGAATTGCCACAATTTTTATACTGCCCTCTCGGACACTAGAGGTAAAAAAGAATTCTGGCAATTCTATTGCTGCCCTCTCGGATACTACTTCTCAGTTAAGTGCTATATTTTTATATATATATATTTTAAATTTTATTGATTTTTTTCTGTCGTTTGTTCGTTGACAATGCTTCTTGTCGATATGTTCGTTGTTTTGTTGCATTCCTTTTTTCAGGTTTAACCTTACTTTGTTTCACTCATTTCTTATTTTTCTAGCCTGGGTGCAGTCTCTCCCGTTTTTACCCAGGTACTTCAGGATAATTATTATTTTTGTAATATTATCATATATTAATTAGTCTTGGCTCCTTTTCACAGTCAATTTTTCTTTTACAAGAGATCATTTTCTTTACTTTCGTCTACTATATGTAATTAAAATTAAATTAGTTCAATAAAAAGGAAACTTACTTTGATCATTAGCTTTCCTCCTTTTTCTTGTCCGATTCATCTGAATGCTTATTGATTCTGGAAAAAGAAAAAAATAAGGATAATTTTTCACTTCTCAAAATCACTTTTACTCAATAATAATGAACACATCTGTAGAACCTTCAATCATTGAATCTATACAAATAAACCCCAATTTGGTGTGAATTATAACCTATTTAAAAAAACAAACACAGCTAGTTTAGATGAACAATGTTGATGCAAATAATAATTTTAAAATCTTTTTTCTTTTTTAAATAGCAAGAATCTAATCATGTTTTATGATTGCTAAGAATTCTATGTAACCTTATTTTGTTAAAATAAAAAGATGACTCACCATCAAATGAACCACTTGTACCTGCCACTGGAAAATTTTCAGCTCCACTTACTTCTCCCACTGGTTCATAATCACCTGAAAATTTGGCAAAATAATTTCTTTTAATAGAAACATATAAAATGTGAACTTATTTACTTGATTTGTTTTAATTTTACACACATAAAAAAAGCTTTGCATTTGCATAACTGATAACAGCAGAAAGTAAGCTTCACTATCATTGCACTCTTCATTAATATAATTAAAACCTGACTAGGCTTCATACAAATTACTAGACCTATAGTCATAAAATGGAAGATTTCAAAATATGAAGCAATGGGAATTCCGACTTCGACTGAAAGATAGTTATGAAGGAAAATGTGTCTTTTTTACAGTAGCATCCTGAAAACTTTAATGCTGAGATGGGGTTGTTTTTTTTTTAATTTGTAAATCATATATCTTAGGGGATGGGAATATTTAGTGCCACCATTTCGCCACTAACCTTTTTTATTGGACAAAGACATCAAAATTATTGAGATACAAAATAAAAATTTAGAGTTGACAAAAAATGTTGAAAATTCAAAAGCGTTTATTATATTTAGTTTAAATAGATTTAATAGTCTTTCATATACTAGAAGGGCCACATAAACTGTTATGTCTCTGTGTAATCGGAAGTGTGGTGCAGTCATCACCTTTTTACATTGATGATTGTACAAAATAGAGCAAATGTATGGTGGGGGGGGCTTTTGTCGAGCATCTGTTTTAAAGTGCTAAAATATCAATGAAAAATAAAACTTTCAGTCATCAATATCCATGTAAGAGATTATGTGGAACAAAAAAACAGAAACCAAATAATTTTCTTATTAATGACCTCAGAATGGCCAGGCGTCAAATTGTCATAGATCCATTTCTGAAACTGCTATGCAGTATATAAATATAAGTGATTATACATGGATTTTATGAGTACCGCAGAAATTCAGTAAGAGGTCCAATCCACCTTTCTTTCCCTCTGTTATATTAAAGTTAAAAACATGGTGGATATATTCCAGTTATATTCCAGTTATACTTGTGAAACTATAGATGCATTACATTCTATGTTATCCCTAAGCAAAGGGTATTGATGATTTTATTATAAACTTTGGTAAGACATTTTAGAAACTTTAAATAAAGTTTATAAATTGATTTTTATACTTAACAGATTTAAAAATACTCTTCTAAAGCTGTTACTGTTATGGAAATGGGTTAGCTACATTTCATGAAATTCATTAGATTGAACATTTAACAACATAATCAATGAAATTTTTAACTAACAATTTATTAAAAAAGTTGATTAACTCGATCACTTTATAACTTTAGATTATACCTATCACTATAGTTGGTATTTTGTTCAATTCTCTCAGGTTTATTGTTATCCAACATTGAAGTTAATCTTAAACAGATGAGAATCCAAGTAAAATTGTTCAACCATAACTATCACTTTAAATCTGGTATATCATACCTGGAGATGCTGGAAGAACCATACAATCATTAGAATCATCGCCTCCTTCAATTTTCACAACCATTTGATTAGACTGCCCACTTTCTCTTGCCATTGATTCAATAGCTACAGAATAATTCTGAATGCTTTCATCTCCTCCTGCAGAGCTTTCTTCAAGTTGATGTTTTCCTGAGATCTCAACACTATTTTTAGATTGTCTACCACGCTTATGTACGTTTTGTGGTACATCTGAAAACATTACATCTTGTTCAAATTCTGGAGGAGAAACTTTTTTATTTGACTGCTTAAGAGGTGGACAAGAGTGGTAACTATTGCTTAAGAATGTTGTTGATGAATCACCACCTTCCCTTGAAACTTGTTCATCCACAATGTAATCAAATTTGAATTTTCTGTCAACTCTCACATTTATGTGACCAACTAACTCTATGCTCTCATTGAAGTCAACTTGACCATTACAAAGAATTTGAAGGGATCTAACCAAAGATGAAATGAATTTAGCAGCAGGTGAATTTAGCTCTTGCTCAGGCATTTTTAAATAATTATCCGAAGATTTTCTGTAAAAAAATTAGAAAAATTATTATAGTTTGACATGACAAAGTATATACATTTCTATTATTTTTATCACTTCACTTGTCATGTTACTTTGCCACTGTGATGTTTGTACATTTCAATTTGTGACAAAACTATGAAAATTGTAGGACTTTTTAATAAACTAGAGAGCTAAAATTTGGTACACTACTCAGTCTCAAAAAACTTTTCTGTTTGAATTTTTTAAAGTTAGGGAACTCTACTTTTCTCATTTTGAATTATAAAAATATGTAACTTCCAAGTTGCAGTTAAAATAAATATTGGTGCCATGAAGCCTACCATTGGCATTTTTTCTGCTCTGACTTAATTATTAACAAATATTGTATAATTTTAAATGTTGAAAATGTAATACATTGTTAACCCCTTTGGCAAAATGAGTATGTAT